AATTTCTTTTATGGAAAGTTTTGGGTTTGAGATGGGATGGAAATTTTCTTGATTTACTATTGCAACGTATAATAGGAGTAGAAACGAGGAATTAGTTAAGACTGGTGGCCCAAAAGTACCCAAAAGATATTATTTTCTATACCTTGGGTCGATAATCCATGAGAATGGAGAGATGGATACAGATGTCGTGTATAGAGCTAGAGCTGGGTGGACGAAGTGGAGATGTGCTTTGGGAGTCTTATGTGATCGTTGCATACCAATGAAACTGAAGGGAAGTTCTATAGGACAGCTGTAAGACTGGCCATACTTATCGGACAGAATATTGGACAGTCAAGAAACAACATATCCAGATAAAAAGTGTAGCTGAGATGAGGATGTTGAGATGAATGAGTGGCAAGACAAGAAAGGCTAGACTTCAGAATAAATACATTTGAGAAAACTCAGGGATAGCTCCAATAGGTGTTACGATGTGGGAAAGTAGACTTAGGTGGTCAAAGATCAAACCATTAAGATAATGCAATTAATGGTCAATTTACAAGAAGAATCCTCGAGAATCGGTGTTGATATGTGTATGTATGTGTGTCATTACATGCATGAGTACAACATCGAAATAGAAGAATCCATGTCACATAGTTTAAAATTCAAAATGCTTGATGTCAATAATTAAACAAAAAAATGTGAGTTTTTTCTTACAAGCCTTTTTCTTTCTTAAGAAAAATTCTATTACAAGTATTAAAAAAGATTTGCATTCTAGTACAGCACAAGGTTACCCTGAGGAGGCGGTTATATTTGAAGATAGTAGTAGTTAGTAACTTTATAAACCAAAACCTGTCAGAGATTTCTTTTATTTCTGTGCTTTTTTGGGGAGGCAAGAATCAACACTTGGTCTCCAAACTGAGCATATTGTTGATCATTCCATTTGCACTTGTGTTACTATGAGGACTTCTAATCGTCATGGTCATGCATTTGATAAATCAAGGCTCCTATCCCACTTTAAATGCGTGCTTGCTATTATGATATTGATTAATTCTATCTTTGCAAGCAGACTGGACATGTGAATTGATTGCCTCTTGATACAGGATTAGCTCAAATCCTATATCATCACTTCACGCAATCATTGCTTCTATTGCTTCTATATTAGCCAAAAGAATCATATCACTCTGAACAAATTGTTGACTGAGCTTGCAATGCTATTTAAGGGAGAGTGTTGTTTGACTACACACTGGAACTCCATTCCTTTGTGATCCACGTAGTTGTAGACTTGTAGTTGTTTTAAACTTGTTCTGTATTACGTGCAATGTTGTTAAGCAGCGTTCCTAGTTGCTGCTGTCTCAGTTTGATTCTTCTACTTTTCTCCTTATTCGAGAGAATGAGCAAGTTTTCCTTGGTCTTATGCACGTTCAAATCTTTCATAGTGGCTGCTTTTTTTTGGTTTTCACAAGAACAAATTTTTACCAGAATTTATTGCAGCCTATAGTAGCTTCTTTGGTTGATGTTCTCCCTAAGAGTGGAGTGAACGATGAAGGACAATGGAAGGAAATGTGGTTTAATCAGTCTATTATTTTTTATGTGATGTCTGGATTCCAAAAAAAAAAAAAGAATGAAATCTGTCTACTATTTTTCAGATATAACAGTCAAGGTGGAGGATTACATTAAGTTTCATTAAGAATGCAATCAATGGGGCATAACCCCAGAAAAGAAAAGTAAGATTAGGGGGAAAACAAACATAAAGCTCCATAAAAGGTCAGGGCAGGAGATTAAAGACCCAAATAAAGAGTAAGACACCTCTTAACTCCATCCGAAGCAAGGGAAGCAGCTCACAGTTAGCTTCTCGTAGCACATGGGAATAATAGATAGTCATTATTTCTCATGATTATCTCTTGATTCTCCTCCATTTTATCAACCAATCTCCAAGTGTAAACCATATCTCAAAATGTCCATCTAGTGGTGCTACACAAATTGCTTTTCCCTTTCCACAATCTGGGGGTGCGAGGAAAAGCAAGTCAGCTTAGTAGTGTTTTTAAGGTGAACTTTGGATGTAGCTTGACCGGTAATAATTTTAATGATGTAGGGAGTTTGTTGTTCCAGTGTTCTCTGATCGTTCTTTTTCTTTCATAAGTAACCGTAATTCCTTTTCTTTGGTCTTGGGGCATTATCTCATTTATTTTTATTCTCACTTTGAAATTCTCATTAGAAAGTTGATTGTTTATATGGATATTTCTTTGCGCCTGCCTTGTTTCTTGTGGTTTCATTGCTTTCCTTTGGTCTTGCAGCTCTCTGATTGGCTTGATGCAAACAAACCATTTGAATTCAATGAGAGAGATTATCAATCTCGTGTAGACCTAATCGCTAAAGTGCATGGGATCCACAGAGCTGAGAAGTACATAGAGAAACTTCCCCAACCAGTGAGAGGAGAAGTTCTCTACCGAACTCTCCTGGCCAACTGCTCAACAACCAGAAACGTCAAGAAAGCTGAAGAGGTTTTCAACAAGATGAAGGACTTGGGTTTCAAAATGACTGCATTCTCTTACGATCAGCTTATCTTGATCTACAAAAGGATAGACAAAAAGAAAATTGCAGATGTCCTATTGATGATGGAGAAGGATAATGTGAAGCCCTCGAGTTTTACTTACATGCTCCTGGTTGACGTCAAAGGTCGCTCTAGTGACATAGAGGGAATGGAACAAATTATAACGAGCATGAAATCTGAGGGCCTTGTGCCTGACATCCCGTTTCAAGCCACAGTGGCCAAGTACTACATCTTTGGAGGATTCATAGATAAGGCGGAGGCTGTTTTGAAGGACTTAGAGGGAGAAGATATGGAGAGAAATCGGGATGCTTGCAAGGCCCTTCTCCCTCTATATGCTGCACTAGGCAAGGCTGATGAGGTGAGTAGGATATGGAAGGTTGTTGAGCCAAGCCCCCGCTTCGACGAGTGCTTGGCAGCCATTGAGGCTTGGGGCAAGTTGGGTGACACAGAAAAGGCAGAGGCAGTGTTCGAAAGGATGCTCAAAACTTGGAAGAATATTTCATCGAGGTATATGCCATTTTATATGTTCCTGTCAAATATTTATCACTGTATTGATATATGTAAGACTAAATGTAGTGCCACTTCTCAAATAAAAATAACAAATAGACTCAATATAGTGCCTTTGGAATAACTATCTTTTCTCTTATTTTCTTCCGCATCTGTTTTTAAGAACATATAGGGATTGACATACTCCTTTGTTATGGATTCGTTTCTGCATGTCATAAATTTCCCTTTGTGAAATGTTCCCTGAGATTCTCCCAAACAAATCAAACTTTCTGAAAACAATCTTGTGAAATAACGGCAGTGAGAAATTCTTTGTGAGGTTGATTTGCTATGATTAGTTACTTCTACCTAGTCATTATCGTTCCCTCGTTGCAGTTTCCAATCCTTGCTTACCTAATGAAAAAATAATGATTTAATGTTTCCTTTTAATTGAAGGCAATTTAGGGAATGAATTTGCCTGCTCATTACTACATGGTCGATACTTCTATCCATTTTCTCTTATACCTTATTTGAAATTTTTATTTGTCATACTTATTTGAAATTGTTTTTCAATTGTTTACCATTCAGATAAACAACATATGTATTTGGATAGATGTAACCTGCATGAGTCATACATAATTGTTTTCTTGGATATCTTGTTTTATCATATTTCCTTTCTTTTCTTTTTGTCATTTCTTGTTTGATATATTTCTGTATGTATATTCTTGTTATCTAAGTTAACCTTTTCATCAAAAAAATATATGTTCTTGTTCTCTCCTAAATTCTTGTTTGTAAATACACAAATTCTTACCGCTTAGATAGTTTACCAACTCAATAAACAATATGTACATTTGATTTCATGTATATCAGGTATTACAGTGCCCTCATCAAGGTATATACGACCCACAAGCAGCTGAACAAGGGGAAGGACCTTGTGAAGCGAATGGCTGATAATGGGATCACAATCGGGCCTGTCACTTGGGATGCCCTAGTGCGGCTCTATGTGGAGGCTGGCGAGGTGGAGAAGGCAGATTCAATCTTGGCCAAGGCAGCAGCTCAGCAAAATAATTCGACAAGTCAGTCTTCAAAGAATAGATTGAAGCCTTTGTATTCTTCATATATGGTCATCATGGAAAAGTATTGCGAGAGAGGTGATATTCATAATGCTGAAAAGATTTTCCATAGGTTGAAACAGGCTGGATATGAAGGGAGGATGTCTGATTATCAAACCCTCTTGCAAACCTATGTGAATGCAAATACTCCAGCATATGGGTTTAGAGAGAGACTGAAGGCCGACAATGTCTTCCCAAATAGGTTTATGGCCTCCATGCTAACTAAGGCTGATGCCTTTAAGAAGACAGCCATCTCAGATCTCTTGGACTAATGATAGGCTAATAGCCAAGGGCAATGAAAGGAGTAGATGGATGGGGAGTGTGCTTTGGGTCTGAGGTATGTTGGTTTTCTAAGTTATCAAAAGGACTTGTAGATCATGGTAAGCCAAGTTTTATTGGACATAAATTGGACTTATACCTCCTCATACAATGAAGCAGCATGCTGAGATAGGCTAGAATATATCTATTTATTTATTTTTGTTCAAGGTTATGTGCTGGTTATCATTTTGATGGATACCCCAAGTTCATTTTACATACATTATGATGCATGATCGTGATACATTCCTACTGTTGTTGGATGTTTTCGTATTTTGGTGAGGTTGTATGACATGTTCTTCTTTCTTAGGGAGAGCCATTTAAGAAGGCGTGGGATTATTTTTCTTTGGTCTGATAAGTAGCATGGGGGTTGTCTTTTTCTTTTTCTTAATAGTTGCATGGGCACTGTTTTATTAGTTGTTGAAAGTATTGCCTCAATGGCAAGCGTGTGGACTAGGGTACCCTCCCTCTTGCACCATATAATGGTGTTTATATGTATGACATCGAGTGTGAATGGCATCTGTTGATTCATACATGTGGGCTTTGATGGCTTCTCCTAGAACAAGAGGATGTTTAGGCTGTGTCTACACACACACACGTCCTTGTGTTCTTTTGTTCACATGCTTTTATGGTTGCGTGCATGTGCGTGTTTTTATGAGCATAGATGTGAATCTTATTTATCATGTGCTTGTGGGGGATCAGGCATATGCGCACTTACATTCTTGAAAAATGTGTGTGTACATAACCTAGATTCTGGCACAGACACGGGTATAGCTTGGGAGGATGCTCTTGTGACTGTTTATTGGAGTTTTTTTTTTGGCTTTATTGTTCTTGTTATTTCTCTTGGTTGGGAATTTGGTGGGGAGAAGTTATCTCTGCAATTCCAACTTTAGGAAAATGAAAATGTTCTGATTTCCGGACAAAATACCATCAAATTGGGGGTTATTTTCTTCTCTGTGCTTATATGCCTAGTTCCCTTCTCACGGGTCAGTATGGGATGTGAACCTCAAATCTCTTGCGGCAAGTTGCAACTGAAGTGCCAGAACCCTGTATAATTTGAAGATGGGGCCTTTAAGCATGGCCTAGATATCATATCTCTTTTTCTTTTTTAGGAAAATGGTTTGATAGGGCTGCAGCCCTATCAAAAAAATACCTATACGTCAATCATCTTGGCTTGAATATTATGGTTACGGAAAAAAAAGGATTTCATGATCTAAAAATAGTGTATATTGTAACAAATTATCTAGACTTTCAATTTTTTTTAGAGCTATCTTGGATATTTTCTTTTCCGAAAGTGCTTTCCAAACAAAGATTTGAGGTGAGGCTTTATTTTGTTTTCATAGCTTGAGCCTTATAGAAACCTCATCCATATAAGGGCCTGCTTGAATGGGGCTACTTGAAAGCATGACTACTGTGAAAATCCTCTGCTATTGTCGTTGAAAACTTCCCCTTGGTTGAAAATGAACTTATTGAAACATGCAAACATCCTGATAATAATATTCTTGTGCTCTATTTGGAAGAGCAGTTTATTCTCAAATTAGGAATCGAGTTTGGGCTTGAGTGATTAGCAACTGACCATTAGCAAAATAGCATTTGAAGATTGATTCCTACTGCTGAATTACCTGAAATATAAATAAATAATAAAATTTTCTTAATCAATACTGCTTTATTTTCTTAGTTGAGGATTTTAGGTTTTCCCATAAGCAATATACCTTATACTAAAAGGTAAGTCTTATGCAAGGCAATTACCTAGACACTTTTAAACTCGAAAACGTTATAAAGAGCCAAGGCTCTAAACAATTAAATTAGAATCCGCTTCAACAATTTCTCTAGAAGAGGTTGTTTTGATGTTTAAATATCCTCAAATTGATCAACTCGACACCAAGATGCATGAACATAAGAAAAAAATGGATTATCAAGTTTTGGAAACAGTGCATCTTGAAATATATTTGTGGATCGTCAATTTTCAAGAATTTCAAGTTTTTATGGATCTGTTCGATCTACACTATTTTTGAAGATTTAAATTTTATAATTAAAGATAAAAATATATTTTAAGGCTATCACAAATATTTCAAGCATTGAAACCGTATTTCTCAACACTTTGAAGGTGGGCTTTACTTTGATTGTTTAGAGCTTCGGCTCTATACAAACCGCACCTTTTAACTCAGCAGGAAAATGCAATTCTGATTCTGAAAACTCGACAATCGTTTGAAGATCTATTTCCAGCCCTTATTCTTATATATAATTTAAAATTTTAAAAATAGTGTAAATCAAACAAATCTATAAATATTTAAAAATCCTAAAAATGGTCGTTCCAAATAACGTATCCCAAGATGTACATGGGAGGTTTTCTAGTATGGAAACAATCATTCCGAAGGGATTTTTGAGGTTTACCTAAATTCTACATTGCAAGCTTGCCAACATAGGCCATGTGTTTGAAAAGATTGAGAAAATATGGTGGTTGATAATTTAAGATGATGGAATAGAATCATATTAAACACAACAGAATAAAAATTTTTATGATGAAAGAGGTCATTCTTTGCTGATTTTGCTAGTGGATGGCTGTAAATGTTGATGCCACAATATGGAAGCCCATTGAAGTTGCACCACTTATACTTGTTATCAAACACTTGCCTACTATTGGGAGATATGAGCTGAGATTGTGAGAAAATTAAAAGCAAAAATACATGCTAAACAAAGTTCCCACTGATCTAGATCAAAATTACAAGAAGGATCAACATCTCACAAGAGAATGTCATGTTTATGATCATATAAAATATATTGCATATCCAAACTGAAATCAGTAAACAATCTTTAAATGATTCACAATTCCTAATCAAATCTTGAATTCACACAAGAGAAGATACTTCTCTATGGATTTGATATTAATTTGATAAGGTAATAAACAAATCCTATCTCAAAATCAATGATCTATGTTGTCTGAAATTAGGCATAAGTTTATGCATATATGAGTTAATATCATAATCATTTTGATGCCACAATGTCTTCAAGTTTGTCTCAATCATTATGCAAAGTTGTGACAACAAAGTATTAATCAAGATCACAAGAAAACATGCTAAATTACCATTGAAAATTTGAGGATCAAATATGATAAGCATGATGCACAAAGAAGACAGAAATTCAATAGTGTGTGGGTGAGGAATTTGTGCAATTACATTATCAGATCAGCTCCATATAAGATCAAAATTGATTGTTAGTCATTACTCACTCATCTCATAAATTAGTCGCAATAATTTGATCAACAAAAAGACGTTGGACAAAAGATTTGCTAATAAAGATGATCATTCATCGCTCAATAGATTATTTTCCCAACAAAAGAGGTTGGACAACCATATCTTAAATGGTTTCTCTCAATATTAATTTTCTCAATGGAAATTCATAGCAGTCCGACACTTATAAAAAAAAGTGGGCCAATTACACGATCAGTTTATTGATACATTGAAAGATTCAAACACTTTACAATTATTAGGTGAATGGGGTAATATACACTTTCCTATCTTGTTACATCCTCCTCTCAAAAAAAAAGAGTAATACGCTTTCTTATCTTGTTTCAATTTTGTTTCTATTAGAGGGCACTATATTTTACACAACTTGGGAGTTTGAAAAGCTATTTGTTAAATCTCATACTATGATTAATTGTGATTATGCTTCTAATAACCCAATAATATTTGGATTTATGAACATGACACTTTCTCATGCCAATACGATGATAATTTTCTTATTAGCCAGTATGGTTGTGCCCACTATAGTTGGAGTTCTTGAATAAAAAATGGCCTGAAACATCATAATTTCCAACACTTTCTACTTGGCCTGATGGTCTTTTAGTAACTAGTATGGTTATATGAACCATGCATCTTTATGGCATTGCCTCATGCCTCCCAGATCGGATATCACATAGAGTGAAACAACAATATTCATACACGTCACAATTTGATTTCCTCTCATGTATAGCATTTGATAATTTTGAAGTGAATAATGGCAAAAATGATAACAGTTAAAGGTGGCAATGGGCCGGGTGGCCCGCCCGGCTCCTAAAAAACTAGGGCCTGGACCACATTTGACAATTGCTATTTGATAAAGGTGGCAATGGGCCGGGTGGCCCGTCCCGGCTCCTAAAAAACTATGGCCTGGACCAACAATTGCTATTTGACAAATGTATAGCATTTGTCAAATGTTAATTGAATAATATTTCAAATGTTACTTACCAATTTGGTCATACGACTCAATTGAATTTCCTGGCTTGAATGACCTCTAATATGATATTGTATTAAGCAACCCACATGTTAATTGGATTTCCTAACCGTAATGGACGGTATGCTCCACCAAGAGCACAAAATCTTTTGGCACGACATTTTAGTGTGACCCAGAGGTCCTATCTACACTCTTTGTTGCTAGATAGAAGTTGGACGATCCACCAGGCGCAATATGGCGAGCATTATTCTATATCCTTGTTATCAATTTGTTTGAAAATATTATAGAAGGGATTATATATTACTGAAACTATTTATCTTTGTTACAATCAAGTTATAATTATTTTTAGTCATTAGGCATCAAATTGGATGGCTTGGGGTGTCTTCGAGAATTTTTTTTTTTTGAATTTTAGTTATAGTAAATGATACTCTTACAACCACTTGATTTGAAATCTGGGAAGCAAAAATATTGGTGACCTCCTCGTACTAAAAATAAAAGTATATTTGTATAATTTTTCAATATATAATTTAAACTTGGAGCTATTTGGATACCTGAAAATCTATTACATGAAAGTAAGTAGATTATAAAGGAAATATAAGATTTATATTGTTTAGGTACACTCTAATAATAATAAAATAGAAATAGATTATCGAGATTTCTCTAAAAAGTAAAAAAATCCATTAGGATGGTTAAAAAATATATTTACGCTCCTGACCATTGGGCGATTCTATTAGGCGCATGAGGGCTAATCCATTGTGCGCGCATCCTCTAAAAAGAAAGCCTCATCAAACTCCTGTAAAAAGAAAGCCTCATCAAACTCTAAAAAACCTAGCTGAATTGATAAGCCCGCCTCATCAAACTCCTGTAAAAAGAAAGCCTCATCAAACTCTAAAAAACCTAGCTGAATTGATAAGCCCTACTCTCGTTCTCTTTCGCCTCTCTCTCTCTACCCAACCCTAATCTCTATCTTCTCTCTCTACCCAACCGTTGTTTCTGTCTTCTCTCTCTGCCCGCCCTTGGCTCTCGCGGCTTCCACCTCCACCTCCACCTCCTCGTTACCCGAAGGAGGCGCAGAGTCTGAGCCCTCTCGCGAGTTGAGGGTGGAAATGTTGAGTCACGGCTTTCGTACCCGA